AATAGCCCCAACAGACAAGAACTCTATGCCCCCTGATTTTATAGAGGGATAGTGAAAGCCAAATGATGCAGAAAACATCAGAAAGCTAAATATTTCAAATGCCCCCTATTTTATAAAGAAAATATTTAAAATATCTAAAATATCTAAAATATTCTAAAATATCTAAAACAGCCTTGAAACCATTTGCAGGGCACTGCTGCCAGTTGAGATTCTTGCTCTTCACTCTGGTTGCATGAGGGTTACGTATCCAGTGACCATCCCCACCACCTTTCCAATGCCGCAGATACATGAGCAACCGCCACAACCTGTCAAACAGGTCAATCGAAGGGCAGGCCATGGGAAGTCCTTGTAGTGCTTCAGACAAGTTGCAAGGGTCACCTGCACACTGCTCATGATCCCCATCCTCTGGCACATTGAACAACTCTGCCAAGATGGATGCGTCTGGTAGCCCTCGAAGCTCGACTGGTAATTGCTTCCCATCTTCTTCATCTTCCTCCTGGTCTGGTCGATCACCTGGCGCAAGTGCATCGTCAAGGACAGCGCTGTTCTCTGCCAAGCCTTGGATGATCTCCTGGTCTTCTGCCGCTGGATCTTTGGTCTCTGCGCTGCCCAAATCAAAATCGTCATCCTCATCTCCCAACTCTTGGTCAGGCAAGTCAAACCCCTGATCCGCACACCACTGCCTGTATGACTCCTCCACGGACGTTGGGGAAGTATTGCAGCAATATGCAGCCAGCTGCATGGCCGCTTGGAACGCACGTTTGCTGACAGGCATGAGTTCGCGGGAGGGCAAAGGCTTCACCTCATCTGTTGGGGCTTCCAGTGGCTTGGCGTTCTTGTGTGCCCTGATCATGGTTCGGGCGCTTGCGCGCCAGTATGTGCGCGCAGTGAGTTGCGCGCTCGTTTGTTGCACTCGCAGGCTTCCAAAGTGCTCCTCCACGGCCAACTCTGTCAGCCTTTGATGACCTCGGATCCATGGGTCTCCTGACGCAGGCTTGGTCAAGCATACTGACACGACTCCCATGGCCACAAACTGTAAATTCTTCATCGTCTCCGCTGCGAGGAACAAAGCGCCTTTGGGATATCCATCCCTGCG